AAGTTACACAGCCTGGTTCCCCTGGCAACTGCACCACAAACAGTGCAGAAGGGGGCAGGGGGGAGGGGAGGGAGGTTAAGGATAACTCCTGTTCATGTTCACTCAGGCCAGGGCCCTCCTAGACCTCAGTTTACTTGTTGGGGAAACTTTTCTACAATCTCCTAAAACTGCATTGCCTGAGAATGAATGGGGGAAGTTTACTATAAATGAGAATTCAAGATACCACGGCCCCCAGCTCCATCCCGGGTTCTCTATCTGTAGGTCCTGTGAGTCTAACTGGAATCTTCATTTCAACTTGCATGTCAGGCAGCTGTGATACGGGAAGCCTAAGGACTTTATGCTTTGAGTTGTTTTTTTTTTTTAGAGGGGGGCGTTTTTTGTGAGACAGGGTCTCGCTATCAGTCCAGGCTGGTCTTGAATTCACTTTGTAGCCAAGCTTGGCTTTGAACCCATGGAAATCCTTGTGCTTCAGCCTCCAGAATGCTGGGATTACAGGCATGTGCCACCATGCCTGGCTGGATTTTGCTTTGAGAAGAGGAATGCTTCAAGAAGCTGAGGTTCCTTGTGGCAGGGTGAAGATAAGATATGGCATAAACCCCAAGGTCACCCCAGCATCCTGTGTCCTCTGGGATCTACAGTCAACTCTTTTCCCAGGGATGCTTCACTTCCCAATATTTTCAACATCTAGTGGGTGACCAAAAATCCAGAGATCTGGAGCCTGGGATATGCTGAACCAATTCAAAACAATGAATTTTGAGCTGCTCCTGGGCCCAGCACTATCTGTGCTGAGAACTGGAAGCCACAGACGAATACAAAAAGCATGCTTTCTACTCGCAAGAACCCTGGGGCCCAGGGAAAATCACTTACAGTCTTGCTTGGTTTTTCTCTTCTCTCTGAAGGGCTTGAAAATATTAAAAAGCCTTACCAGGAGGTGACACCCTCCCAGGGATTAAGAGATATGAAGATACCTTGAAAGTGCAGCTCTTGGGTATTGTCCCGGTGGTTACAGTAACTTTTGTTGCTGAAGGTAAGAGTGGAGCTGTCTGAGGGAGGTATGAGGAGGTCATGGCGCCCTAAGAACAGAAACGCCCAGCTGCAGGATCCAGGATCTGAGCCTCAGGCACTCTTCTCAGTTCTCTATTTGACTGGCGAGGTGGCTGCCACAAGAGCTGATTTCCTGTACCTCCTGCCAAGCCTGACCTCTCCCTTCCTCCCTCATGGCCATGGCCTTCAGGGACAGGAAAACCGCAGCTCAAGCCATCTTCAGGCTAAACCCTTCCCGGGTTGGGTGTCTCACAGGGGAGCCCCAGGACAGGAGCAGCCACTGTTTGGTCTTCTGTTGCTTGAATTTAACTCAGCTCACTCACTAGGTAGGTTCAGCAAGTTAGTTGTAGTCTGTTAGTTTCAGTATCCTCAGCCAGAAAATGGGAGACCTTACTACTTTACGATGTTATCTGCTCCTTAAAATGAGTCTCCTTCCCCAAGTACCAGTTGCACCATCTCCTCCACTGCCTGTCTCCGCTCCTCTCACCTTCATTCTCTGCAGTCAGAAAACACTCAGCAACTTTGAGCACCACCCTCTCCCTTCCATCCCCACTGTCCTTTCCTTAACAGGGCAGCCCCACTTCAGCCTGGACTCCTGAGGACTTCCTCAGCCCACCGGTGGCAGCCTTCCCTGACGGTATTAGGCCATACCCTAAAGCCTTACCAACTTCTGAAATAAGATACAGCTCCCCACTCTTCATTCCCCTGCTCCTGGATGGCTTCTCTTCCCCACAGTGAAATATCCCAAACTGCTGGCTTGACTGTGAACTCCTTTGATGACCTGGATGACATTTGTCAACACCACACCACTCATGCTTCCCACACATAGGTCTGCAGTCCATTTCTGCCCGTGGTCGTCATCTTCCCACATACAGCCCACTCCTGAGGACACTTTCCTCCTCACTGATGTCAATGTCCCCTTTGTGCTTTCAATCACCCATAGGGCTTCAGTTACAACAGCATCATCCTCTGGACACCTTCATTGTCTATGGCCCTTCTTATGGGTGCTGCTGGCACCTATCCCCCTAAACATGTCTTGGCTTGTGCCTGGATGTCCCCCCAAAGCCTCAGGCAGTCATTCATAGGTGGGGATTTTTCAGAGGTGGCTGGATCTCAAGCGTGTGATGGATTCATGTTGCAATGCTAGGCTTAAGGGTGCTCGGACTAAAGGTGCATGATGACTAAATCAGTCCACTGATTGATTTGGCACTGCCGTAGTCCCAGTAGCCTGGATACAATCTAAGCAACAGAGGGGCCAGCCAGATAGCTCAGCAGACTAAAGCACCTGCTTAGACAGAGCACAGCAGCTGGGGTCGGTAAACTGCCATGCCGTGCCAACCCGACCCAGGGCACACTGAGATGGGGATTGAGACTGGGTGTGGTAGCGCATACCTGTAATCCCAGCACTTGGGAGGCTGAAAACAGGAGGATCACTACAGGTCTGATCTGGATAGTGAGACCCTGTACTACATACATAAAAATAAAAAAAATAAATAAATAAAGCAATCTAAGGAACACAAGGACCAGTACTCTATGCCTTGTGGCTTTGCTCCCTTCTGCCTGCCATGAACTTGCTTCTCCTCTGCCATGTCACCGTGCTGTGGAGCCAGCTATGGGGGACTGAAGCCTCTACAGACTGTGAGCTAAATAAGCCTTTCCTCCTGAACTTGTGGGTGTTGAGTATTTTGTCTCAGCAATGAGGAAAAGTAACCAAAACAAATGTGTTATATTGGATTATAATTGACCCCTCATTTTTCTCGCTCCTCCCAGGAAACTAAAGACTATATCACATTAACAGGCTCAGACCTGAAGGACCTAGTAAATGCCTCATCCAGAGAAGGTGCTCAGGAAATAGTTTTTGGAGGGAAAAAAAAAAAAAAAAATAGAACAAATCCAAATTACAGTTAAAGCTCCTAGCACTATGACAGAAAAAATATTCGTAGCAAGCATCACTTCGATCATGCTCATTGTCACCAGCGTGGTTCAGAGTCACATGGAACAATGAACAATTTTTTTTTTTTCTTTTTTTGCGGAACTGGGGATTGAACTCAGGCCCTTGCACTTAGCAGGCAAGCGCTAGTCTACTGAGCTATCTCTCTGGCCCAATGAACAATTTTCTTGCTCCAGTAGTAAACCAGTGCCAATATCAGGGCTGGGCAACAATGGGGTGAAGTGGTACAGCAGCTTAGCCTCAGTGTCCAGGATGTTTGTACAACCCTCTTTACCCATCTCAAGCCTATTATTTTGATCCCTTAGTCCTCTTTTTTCTTTGTTCTTTTTTTTTTTTTCTATAAGACAGGATCTCTCTATGCACTTCAGGCTGGCCTTGAACTCACTTGGTGGCCCAGGCTGGTCTCAAACTAGTGGCCATCCTCCTGCCTCAGCCTCCTGAGTGCTGGGATAACAGGTGTGCACAGACACACCCAGTTTGAATCAGCCCTCTTGGACCTCCCCAGTCCCAGACAGGAAAGAAATAGCGCCTAGCTCCCCTGACTGAATTTTTTTTTTTTTTTTTTGCTTTTTGATTTTTGTGTAGTACTGGGGATTGAACTTGGGACCTTGTGCTTGCCAGGCAGGCACTTACACCACTGAGCTATCTCCCCAGCCCTGAAATTTGATCTCTGACAAGAGTCAGTGACAGTGCCCTTTTCCAGAGAAGTCCCCCACCAGACTCCTGTGCTCCCCTGACCATATCAAGGGACTGCCCCTGGGATATGTATCATCTCCCATGACATTCAGGAATTCACACAGGGCGTTTCTCCAAAGGCACAAAACCCAGGTTCCTTGAATCACCATGTCTCCAGTCCATGTCTTGCCTCCTTACAGGACCACACAGCTATGAGCAGAGATCACGCATCATTAGCCTCTACTCTGGTAAGGCCTGGCATAGAATAGAACCTCAATAACTGCTGAACAAATATATGAATGAAAAAGCCAGGGTGTACCTGAGGACTCCCAGGCAGAAGGGCCTGCTTTCCTCCATTAGTTGTGATTTCTCCTTTTTATTGAAGACATCCTTCCTGACCCTTCAGAGATTCCAGAGGCTAATAACCTTTGGAGTCAAGGGGATCATTTTTCCTTGTCTAACTTATATTTCTCTGGATGCAACTTGGGCCACTGGGATAAAATCTACCTCTTTGCAAGGAGACAGTTACTAATCTACTCTTTTAGCCTTTTCTTTAACAAGTTTAATCTGAGGCCCTTCGCTGCCTCTCCCTGAGGTCCTGTTGTCCAGCTCTTTCCCTGCTCCTTTTTTCTTGGGCCTTTTGCCAAGGTCTCAAAGGCCTCCTTCAGCTTCACAGGCAGGAAGGGGACATATTGTTCTCCACACAGAGATGCCTCTGCACAAAGGACCAAGCACCTCTGTGTACCTATTATCCTTAGTCCAGGGTAAACACACTTCTGGGCAGCCTCTTCACAGGGTCACAGACTCCTCCTCTCCTACCCACCTGAGTGGATTCTCACACACCTAAATGCACTTACATGCAGAGGAATAGGCTGCACAGACCCAAGCTTTTACCCACAGGCGGGCCAAAGGGGCCCTGTGCCTGAGCCTTCTTCCTCTTTCTCCTTTTCCCTGCCTCCCTCCACAAATCTCCTTTCCATTGGTCAGTGTGGGCCAAACCTACTTTGCCTCCACCTCCACAGTGATTTTCCACTTCAAGGCTTAAGGCAAACAATAAATGAAAGACATTGGCTCCTCCTGCCTGCCTCTTACCCCTCCTCCCAAATCCTCAGTGTAGCTCCTACTGCCCAGAGCCCCCATACTGCTTTCCGTTTCTTTCCTAACCTCCACTCCTCCGGCTGTAGCCTATAGCGACTGAGGTTTCTGGGGTCTTTTACCTTGGGGCAATGAACAGTGGGGAGGCTTGGGGACTGCCACAGGAGCTGGCTCCACGTCAGATCCAGTGACAGACCTGGCTGCTGAGACTCTGGGCTGGCTAGGCATTATGTTATCAATCCAGGGAACCCTGGAGAAGGAGAGTGGTACGAACATTCATTCATTCGACAAATACTTCCCCAGCACCGCCGCCTTACCAACCACTACTCCACATAATAAAGCCAACAAAAGCCTGCCTGTGTGTGCAGTGTACATTCCATGGGTGGGGACAGTAGTCAGTAAAGCATACTGGGGTGTCATAAGCGAAACTAGGGGAGAGGATGGGGTATAGGCCGAGGGTGGAGGGTGCAACTTTAAATAAAGTATCAGGAAAGATGACAAAGCCCTGAAGGTGATAAAGCAGTAAGCCACGGCAAGACCTGGCAGAAGGCTTTTCCAGAATGGTCCTGCAAGAGGAGCACAGGGAGGCACCAGGTGTAGACGGCCAAAAACACCAGGTGCTAGATGAGCAGAAGACGCTCCTGGGGAGATGGGAGGAGACAAGCGAGGGGTGAAGCTGACCTCCCACAGGACAAAAGGCTAAAAGCAAATAATAATAATAATAATAATAATAATAATAAATTCAGAAAACAAAATTCGGAGGTGCCAGTGGCGGCCAGGAAGGGGATGAACGCACAACTCACTGGCCTGGTAGATGCAGCCAGGAGGGGGACAAGGGCCTTGCAAAGCCAGTCAGTGTTTCTGGTGACAATGTGATTCCAGCAGACAGGGCCAGCCGAAGGTTCCCTGAGAGTCCAGCAGGGCGTTATCTGCACAAACCTTTCTTGAGTAACTCCATTCATTCCACCAAGTCCTGTGCACGCAGATCTGACAGATCTTCACAGCAGCCCTACTCCCGTAGGTTAGACGTGAGGAGTGCTGAACCTCACACCAGCTTCCCACCACTCCACAGCCCCCTTCTGACTGAGCCAGCAGCAGCTGGAGGCTCTGCCCCACCGACCTGGGTTCCGCCAGTGCCTGCTCTCCCACTTCACTGGTGTGTGGCCCTGGACAAATCCCTTTGGGGCCCTTTCTGAGCCCCAAAGCTCACCTTGGGGATGAGGGTGACAATGTAGTGTATCCACCTGGGGGGGCTGCTGGGAGGCCATAATGGCACTGTGGCTGGCATATGCCTCAGAGAACTATGGAGTGTGGGGCCAATAATTTATACCTATAAATAGTTAAATCAAGGGCAGCTGCAAGTTGCAGTGCTTTCCAGTATATCTGTAAATTCAATGTTTTCTCTGCAGTGATCCCCACCCACCCTCACCCCCACCCCACCCCAGGCATTCCACAAAGCCTTCCGGAGTGGGAGATAAAGGGGTGGAGTGACAGTTAATCCCCTGAGAATTTGCCCAGAGCCTGCAGCCTATCTTATCTGTGCTGCAGCCCCTGGGAGTGCAGCAAGCAAGTAAATACAACCTCTCCCAGTGTGGTACCAGGCCAAGGCCAGGAGCCACAGAGCAGACAGCTCCAAAACAGCGGCATGGGGCCTGGCACACAGTGTATGCTTCTAGGAAGCAGCTGCCACGGTGGATCTGAGTCTCTGGGGGAGGAAAATGAAAGCGCTTTGGTTACAAACCCTCATAATCTGTCACCCTCAGGCTCTAAATTGTGGTTTTCTCCTAAGGAGACAGAGATACCCTAAAGCAGAGACACAGGGACCTTGGAGGCCAGGCCCCAGCAGCTGGCTAATGCAGGCGGGGCCTAAAGACCCAGGAGATAAAGAGTCCTTGAAGTTCTCCCTGAGAAAGACAATGGGGTTGATCCAAGGCCTGGGGTTGAGCATGATTCCCAAGAGATGACATATTTATGCTTGGAGCAGGCTGGCCGTTGGGGACAACTTGGCCCAAAGGTGATTATCTTAGTCCAAGGCCATCCGGTGGGACAGGAGGCTTTTCCTCACATAGGGTCAATCAACAGGGCTTCAGTGGGGTGGTTCCTCCACTACCAGCACCAGCTCACTGCTTCTCATTCCCCAGCTTCCCCCTCATCACTGCAATTCAGCCCTCAACCCCCAAGCTTTGTGACCTATGCTGGCACAGATCCATGCCCCACTGCCACCCAAAGGGGCCTCTTACTTGGGAACCTCAGCCCAGGATTCAGAACTAGGCCAACATCCTCAGCCCATCAGCACTGGCTAAGAAGCTGTGTGGGCCTGCCTGGAGCACAGGACAGGGCTGCCCAAGCCATGGGGCAGGAGGACCCCACCCCCTGCAGACACTGCCCACATGTCCTGCATCTGACTCCCACCCCAAGGACAGAGGTGAGGTCTTATACCTTCTGATCCCCAACAGGCCCTCCCCTGAGCCAAGTGTAACAGAGGATACGAAAGAAACTGAAGACAGGCTTAGTACAGCAAACTCCTGCCTCTGCCCTCTTCTCTGTGCCACCTCTGCCCTTTGCCCAGTATTCCTCCCTTCCCCGCATTGGGCCCAGTAGCCCGACACAGCCAGAGTCCATCCAAAAAAGACCATGATTCTTTATTTAAATCAACAAACTCTTCTTCCTCAAGCCCCGAGTCATGGTGGGCAGCCCTCCCTCTTCTGTCCCCTCAACCTCGTCCCTTAGCCACAGCAAGGGGAATGGAAAATGAGAAACCAAGAGGGCCTCTGCCAGGGAAGGCTGCCCCAGATGCATGGGGAGCACAGCCCAGCAGCAGCTGGAATGGCAGTCACCACAGGCCCCTCCCTATAAATTAAGTCCCTACAGTCTGGGTGGTTGTGGGGAGGCAAGGCTAGCCCAACATCAAGCCCAAAGGCAGCATCCCTGACTCTGAGTCAAGGATGGGCTCAGAGCACAGAGCTCAGAGTCAGGAGAGGCCAAAGAGAAAGAGGACAGGAATGGTGGAGAGTGGAAGTCTAAGACCCCCACAAATGTTGGTCCCAGGGGAAAAGTTGGTCCAGTTTTTATGGATGTGAAGAAGGAATGTATTAATAAGCACAAGGGGAGAGGTGCCATTAGGCACTCCCAGAAGTGGTGGGAGAGGTTGGATGCCCGCCCCGGCAGAGGGGAGCTTGAGAGCTTCATGGGGGCTCTCTGGGAATGTCATTGCTAAAACATATATACATATATATTAACCATTCATGGGAGGGCAGGCAGGGGCAGG